TAATTTTGAGGGTCAGCCCATGACCTGGCAGTTGTGGCAGCTAGATTCCACATGGCTGACCATATGCTTTGAGCTCCAGGCCTGGGGGGCTTGAAAAATATTCTGGGTGTATGTACATGTCCAAAATCCTGAAAATAGGGAGAAATGGAAGAAAAGGGATTGTAGCATGACCGTGCTGTGCTCCATAGGGGGTGCTTTCTTTTCTTTTCTCTCTTCCCCTTTGCCCCTCTGTTTCTCTCTGGCAAGCACAAATGTCTTTTGGCAAATTAAAAAATAGTTTTGGAGTTGGGAATGCCCTTCTAGTTCTGACCATTAAAAAAAAAAAAGCCCTGTAACCATAAAGGCAAAAAACGGTTATTTTACATGAAAGTCGATTGTGGCAAAAAAAATTCTATAAAGTCAGTTAACTGAAAAGTTGCAATATAGGAGAGTGTTAATTTCCTGAATTTACAACCCCCCCCCAAAAAAAGTACAAATCAGTAAGATTTTTTTTAAGGATTATTTTATTTAACTTTATTTATTTATTTATTTTAATTTGACCAGAGAGGGATGAGGGGCGGTGAGAAAGCAAGCCGTCAGGTCCGGGACTTGAACCACAGTCGACCATCTGGGAGTACAGCTCCCCTAATCACTATGCCACCTGCTGGCCCCAGTAAGATTTATTTGAACAAAGGATATGTACAACTGATAATTTATAGAAAAAGGTACAAATAACCAGTAAACATTAGTACAGACTATCTCTCTTATTCATGTTTAAGGGAATGCAGATCAAAACAACAGTAAATAATTATTAATTTAGGAGATTTCCAGACTTTTTTTTCTTGTTCAATAGTATTCAGTCTTGATAAGGCTGTGGGCTGTAAGTGCTGTTACTTACTCTTGGTGAGGGTGTAATTTGGTATACGCTTTTTGGAAAACAGTTTGGTAATATATTGGGTTGTCAGAAAAGTCATGACGTATTTTTTGTTTTTCTATGCAAAAATGCATCATGACTTTTCTGACTACCCGATGCATTAGAATATCAAATATATATATGGCCCTTTGACCCAGCAATTCCACTGGTAGAATTTATCTGTAGGTTGTTCCAAAGCTATATGCCAAGATAGTTAAACACAGATATTTACCATACATTGCTTATAATTTCAAAAACCCAGACAAGTGAAATTCTGTAAGAAGAGAACTGTTAAAATTATGATATATCCAGGACCAGCGATTGGTGTAATGTCTATGTCACTGGACTCCCATGTAGTCGACCACAGTTTGAGTCCCTCCTGGACCCGGTGGCTTAAACTCACACCGGGAACGTGTGCATGCGTGCCCAAGATCCTGAGAGAAGAATGGAGGAGAAGGGATTGCAGTGTGGCCATCCCCCTGGGGGGGGGGGGTGATTTCTCAATTTCTATCTCTCTCTGTCTTTCTGGTGAGTGCACGTGCCCTATAGCAAAAACCTCTCTCCTCCCAAAAAATTATGGTATATCCATATAACTGTAAGCTCTGTGGCCATTAAGCAGAATAAGTTAACTTTTTTGTGTTAATGCAGGAAGGTCTCCAAGATAAATTGAATGACATCAGTACAGAATAAAATGTAGGTAATGTACCCATCTTAAAGGATATTCTGAATATATGATATGTTCTGATATATGCACAGCGAAGTTCTAGAAGCATACAGAATAGTTCAGTAATGGTGACTTCCTTTGAGGGAGATTTAAAATAGAAATAAATTACAGGGTTTTTTTTTAACACTTTTCTGTCTTTTTTTTTTTTTTTTTAACATGTCCATGTATTGTCTCCCTTTTCCCTTTCAAATAGCTAAAACCAAAATTCTACAGAGGTGAGATTTAGCAGAGAATCTATTCACTGAGATGTAATTCTCAGAATTTACATACTTCAGACCAGCAGGGGGCGGAATTAAGGCATTGGACTCCCACACGGCTGACCGTGGTTCGAGTCCCAGACCTGGTAGCTTGCTTTCTGACTTTCCTTCTCTCTCTGTCTCTTTCTGGTCAACTTCAATAAAATAGAATAATGACAATGAATAAAATTAAATAATTATTTTTAAAAAAGAATTTGTATACCTCTAGTCTCTACATTTATATAGTTAACTATTCCTTTTGAAATTGCTGATACCTAAATAGTTTACTTTATAGTCTGTTTTAAATTTTTGTGAAATGTTTTAACATGTATAAAAACACAGATTAATACTTTGTTGTTATAAAAACAGTGTCTTTTAAAAGTATTAATGATTAATCTAGCAATTTGGCATCTTCTTAGAGTTGGCAGAGTGATCACGGGATAGGAAAAATAGCATAGGCTTGAAGTCATACAGACCTGAGTTTGCATCTCAACTTAGTAAAACGCTTTTTTAAAAATTACAGTATACTTTATTTTAAAATTTTGCTATAAGGCGTGTGCTCTCTCCAGAGAGAGCAAGAAAGCACCTTCCAGGGGAATTGGCTACACTGCAACCCCTTCTCTTCCATTTCTCTTCTCTGAATTTTGGGTAAGCACGCATATGTGCCTGGCACGTTTTTCAAGCTGCCAGTCTGGGACATGCTTGTTCAGCCAGGTGGGATCCATTCTCCTTAAGTACCATGCCACTGACGGGTTCAGTAAAAGCTAGCCTTTAACCTTGGGAGAAATGACTTAAAATAGCTGATTATAAGAATATCAAGCCCTGCATTTGCAGAGTAATTATAAAGATTAAGTGAAAAAAAAGTATACATCTCCAGCATATAGTAATACTTCAGAGGCATTTGTTTCTTCTCTTGTCATCTCTATTTGCATATATTTTTCCTTCTTCCTTCATGACTTCCCGTGTTCATTTAGACTGTCTGGTTCACTTAGCTCATCTTGAGTCCTATGTCAGGAATTTTCTCTAATGTTTGCTTACCTACAAAATGTATTTACAGTGGGAACCAGCAGTTAGCGTAATGGCTATGTCGCTGGACTCCCACGTAGTCGACCGCGGTTCGTGTCCCGGACCCGGTGGCTTAAAACTCACGCCGGACGCGTGTGCGTGCGTGCCCAAGATCCCGAGAGGAGAATGGAGGAGAAGGGATTGCGGCGTGACCATCCCCCCTTGGGGGTGATTTCTCGCTTTCTGTCTCTATGTCTCTCTCTGTCTGTCTGGCGAGC